TATAAATACAGAAAGCTACAGTTGATCTCTGATAATCGAGAAGTAGGTATATCACGTAAATAGGAAGATAGTTACTAAGTATTAAAATACTATTTAAAGTTAAGTATAAAGCTCCTATCTAATAGCAGATATATTAGTTTTATATAGAACCTTCGTTCGCCTTAGATCCCTTAGGATACTAGATCCTTAGATCCTTAGATCTGTTTTCCTATAAGGGGATCTAAGGATCTAGGGATCTATCACGTGACTTATCGTCTACTATAATCTAAGTAACTATTACTACTAAAGCGTGAGTATATAGTAGTACTACTCGCTTATCCTATTATTATTCCCTAGCTAGTACTACCTTATTAGTAGTACTGCTCCCTCGTTAGTACTAATACCCCTATAGTACTACTAATAGTTTTATTATTATATAGGTGCTAACTGAACTATAGCGCCAAGGGGTCCGTAATATTAAAGTAGCTTTTATTATAGAACTAGTACTTACTTCCTTTACCTCTAATAAAGAAATATATATAAAGATAAATTCTTTAGACTACGCTATTAAAGCTATACTTAGCTAGCTAAGTAAGAGTAGAAAATAGTAACTAGTTACTTACTATTTATAGAAATTATTACTAGTAGAACTTAATTATAATATATATAATAAAGAGTTACTAGTAATTATAGATATAGTATATAAATAGAAAGTCTACTTTAAGGGCGCTACTTATAAAGTGTAGATCCTAATAGACTATAAGAATCTTATTTATTTTATAACTACTAAGGAACTAAACTAATAGTAAGTTTATTAGTATAAAATACTCTCTACTATTAAGCTTCGAATTTCTTATATTAAAGGAATAGAAAACACTAGAGCTAACGCTTTAAGTAAGAAACTAGAATATTTTATAAATAAAACTTACGAATCTTATACTATACTATAAAAGGATAGTAATTTACTAATAGTTAATTACTAATAACTAGCCTTAATAAGCTAAGTTACTAAGAAAATCTAGAAGAGCTATACTAATAACTTAGTTATAGCTAAATAAAAGAAGTAACTAAGTAAAGGATTCTCCTTTACCTTAGGTAGTACGCTTTTATACTAAGGACGAATCTATATATCTACTAGGGATAAGATTAAATTTATTATATACTAGTATAAGCTACTTGCTTATAAATACTAGGAGGTAGCTAAAGCGCTATCTAAGCTATCTAGGGAATACTATTTCCTAGGTATAAGAAAAGTAGTTAAAGATATAGTAGTATTATACGATATATATATCCGGAATAAGATTATATACTATACTCTATATAGACTTATAAAGTTACTAATAATACTACTTTACTTATAGAAATTAATTACTTTAGATTTTATAGTTAAGCTACTACCCTTAAAAGACTTAGTTATAAGAATTATATATAACTCGATCTATATAATAACAGATAAGTTTATAAAGTATATATATATAGTACTAGTACTTAGGATATAAGATACGCCTATAATAGCGTAAGTATTCCTTAGAATAATCTTTATAAGTTATAGAATACTAGATAAGATTATCTTAAATAGAAATAAGCTCTTTACCTCGAAGTTCTAGAAAACTCTTATTACGCTCTTAAGAATAAAGTAGAAAATATCAATTATATTCTATCCTTAGACTAATATATAGATAGAATAAATTAACTAGATAATAGAGACTTATCTTTAGTATTATATAAACTATAAGCAGAATAACTAGATATAACTACTCTTACTTACTTAGTTTATATATAATAGCGTGAATTAGAAGACTATTAGAGTATCACTATTCTACGCGAATTATAAGTATAATCCTATAGTATATAACTTACTAATAGCTAGTTAAAGTACCGCGTAAGAAGCTATATTATAAGTAAGTAAGCTTAAGTAGCTCTATAAAGAGTTATTAGCTAATATTCTCTTTATTATATAGAGATCTATAATCTACTATAATAGAAAGTGTAATATAAGATTAATACTTAAGAAAGGAGATAAAGTCTACTTACTTAGAAAAAATATCGTAACTAAATAACTAAGTTATAAACTAGATTATAAGAAGCTAGGACTATTTAAAATTACTAAAGTTAAAGGACTAGTTAATTATTAACTAGCTCTACTAAAAATAATAAATATCTACTTAGTATTCTATATATCCCTTCTTAAACTAATACCGCTAAAAGCACTACTTACTTCTATTACTAAAGTATAACTAATTAATCTAAATACTAAATACGAAGTAAAAGCTATCTTTAACTATTAGAACTACTATAGTAAGCTATAATATTTAATTAAGTAGAAAAAGTACTTATAGTTAGAAAATACCTAGGAACCTAAATCTAACTTCTACTACTCTAAGTTATTATAAAGTTTCTATTAATAAAACCTAAGTCTTCCTAAAAAGAGTTTCTAAAATTAAGTAATAGCTTATTAATAAGTAGGAACTTAGAGAGATTACTAGTAGATAGTAAAATAAGTAGTTAAGTAGTAGAAGCTTACTTCTCTCTCTCTACTACCTCTTATACCTTTACTTTTTCTACTTTTTCTTTTACCTTAGCTTTATCTAACTTATCTAAAGTTCTTAGACTATAATAAAGTATTTCCCTTTCTTACTTATAAAGCTTAGCTTAGTACTACTTAAGCTCACGGATATAAGCTAAGCTAGCTATAGCTACCTTAAAAGCTATATCTCTCTTAAACTTTAAGCGATCTTCCTTTATCTAAAAGCTTTAGAGATTATTAATAGAAACCTAAAGAGTATTATATTTCATACTATAATAGATATACTTCTTATACCTTTAGGACTTCTTATTTAAGACTACGTAATTACGATAATAGTAAATATAATTAGAATATAGTATACTAAGCGAACTATAAGAGTTAATTATTTTAGTAAGTACTATCCTTTATTTATATTTAGTAGTTTTAAAGGATATAATAAAAGAAGAAGATAGCTATAAGTTATTATTAATATTTCCTTTAGTATACTTAAGTATAAGGACTACGCTAAGTAAGAAAGGGGATAGTATTATAAGCGTACTTAGAAGGAGTATTATATATATCTTAGCTCTAAGGCTTAGTAGCCTTACTATATAAAGAAGCTAAGAACTAGGAATAGAATTATAAGACTATATATTATATAATAGTATAGAGCTTTTAGAACTATAAGATCTAAGGTTCCTAGAGCCTTAGAATTATAAGATTTATAGAGATCCTTAAAGAATAAAAGTTCTATATAAGACTAGTATATCTACTATTAAATAAGAGCTTTATACTTAACTTTAAATAGTATTTAGATACTTAGTAACTATCTTTCCGTTTATATAATATATCTACCTCTTAATTATTAGAGATTAACTATAGCCTTCTGTATTTATAGCGAGTAAATACCGGACCGTTATATTATCTATAAACTTTCCTTTTTACTAGTACTCTTTTAAGTAGTTCTAATTCGTAATAAAAAAGCTCTACTTGTTTATTTTATTTATATAAGAAAGAAATAGCTTATAGTTAAAAGTATAATAGTAATAGCTATATTAAGTAAAGGTATTTAGAAGAGTTCTATTATAATACTTAAAGTAGAAATACTTATAGATCTCTTAGAGGCTTAACTATTAATAGTTAAAGTAGCTTATAAACTACTTAATAATCTCTTAAACTTAAGTATCTAAGATCTTTAGAGTTATACTTAAAAGCTTTAATAATTAATTAAGTTTATTAAAGAAATATTAAGCTAAAGAATATAAGATTCTAAGTTTATAAGTAGTACTCTATTAAGAATAGCTCTCTTTAAGAAAAGTTTTATAATATATATAAGTAAGTATTTTATATATCTCATATATTTTAATAATATTTACTATATATAATTAATTAGGAGTTATTATTAAATTAATAATAGAGGTATAGGTTCTATAACCTTCGATAATACTCACCGCCTAGTATAAGTAAACGAGACCTACTTTCCACCCCCTTCCGTACCTGTAGGTAAGGTACCTCCGTAGGTAAGGTAGGTAGACGCGCCGAAGGAGTCATATGTCACTTGGGAGCATCTGTTGCGATCGTAATAATACCTACTTAATAATGGAATACTTGTACGGTAGTAGTAAGACCTCTCCCTGGCTGAATTTAAAGTTAAAGTTTCTTTGGAGTTCATGCTGATGTTGATCCTGACGGGGTCTCCGATCCAAGAATAGACAATTAAATTTACAATACTGTACTGTACTGTACTGTATGAGAGTTTTCGCCTCAATCGCTTTTGGGGAGCCTGTACTAGTACTGCCAAGTGGACTGTAGCTTCCATTCATTGCTTGCCCTCCGAGCCCTCGACTCAGTACCTACCTAGCTTACCTACCTGGTACGAAAGGTACCTACCTAGTCTTGTCTCGTCTGGTCCTGTTGCCTCAGTTTTTTTGCGTCCAGTCGGGCAAAGCGAGATCGGCCGCAGTGGAAGGCTTGACTTGACTTGCGGGACTTCCAGCAGTCCCCTCGCCCCTCGCCCCTCGCCCCTCGCCCCGCCTCCCCTACGCCCAAGCCTTCGCCGGAGCTACAGTACAGGCAGCCTGGTAAATTTACTCCGTACTGTACTGTACTGTACTGTACTGTGCCAGGACAACTGTGGCGGGCAGCACTGGGGAAATTTGCCCACCTGAGTTACTTCGTACCCTAAATTTACCTACCTGCCTACTTACTGCACCCGCGAGCGGTGATAATGGAAATAAGATATCCACTACCTAGGTACTCACTAACTGAAGATACCCTACCAAACCATAAGGCGGACCGATACCTTGTGTTCTGTTATGCTACCTACGTTACCTTATGCTCCGTTGTGTCCAGATTTTGGTGCCTGACTACAGTGCCTGAGTGCCTAGCACAGTAGGCAGTATGTAGGTGGGTAACTCACGTTCGGTTGTGCCTCGCCTCACCTCGCCTCGCCGTGCCACAGGTGGATGTTTATGCATCTAGGTCCACTACTCTGTTCCATTAATAAGTGATTTCATCAAGTCAGTGAGTTCGCTTCGGTAAGTGGTGTGTGGCTGGTTGGCTGGCTGGTTGGCTGGATGTGTGGAGGTAGATTCCATTTCGGATCTTCTTGGTCTAGTCTCACATGCCTTTCCCTTCCCTCAGCCAATGGCGCGCCAGAAGTGACTTGAGACTGCAAGCGCACTTTTTCGCCAAAAGCATCGTGAACGAATAAGCTCTGCAAACACGTCCAACATCTCACCTGACGGACGACGGAAGCCGCCCCTTGCACAAGGATGGGACGAAGGGCAACGAGATCCAGAGGTCCAGCACGCTTCGAAAGGCCAGGAAGCTCCCATGGAGAGCTTCGCCAGACAGGGGCCGTGAAGTGGAGAGATGTGCAGTCCGAGACGATGGATGGTGGATGATGGATGGGATTCAGAAAGGAGGAGCCAGCCTTCGAGACCAGCATGCGGCATGAGCAGGAGACGATAGACAAGTGGGAGAGAGACAGACAACAAGCGCGACTACTCACCATCACCCTCACCAGCTCCACGAGCACCAGCGAGAGACCGGCTGGTCTTGCCCCTTATACCTACATTACCATACCATACCATATCATTTAGGAGAGACTTCGGGAGGGGAAAATTACTCATGCAGGAGACTCACTCCTGGTCTGGCATGATGCTCGACCAGAGACCCAGTGCTGGCTGTTTCCTCCGTTGAAGCTGGAGAGGCTGCAACACAGGATACTGAAATACGGGCACAGCCTATGACGAGCTCAGGACAAGAATGCCTTTTGTGTTTCATATACGACTACCTGTCCTGATCACGGCATCTGTCGCACTGTGCGGTCTCTGCACTGCGCATGCAAGACATCCGCCGTCAGTGGAAGTGGACGAGTACATTCTGTCCTCCGTACTTGCTCTGGGGCTACACGGATTATTCCGGGTGCCATATCCTCTACTTCCTTCACTCTCTTCTTGCTTTCTGTCTGTCCTGAACTGAAGGACGCAGTGAGTCGGCGACATGGCACGCGGCACTTAAGTGGCCCTGATGGAAGGATTTTTTCAAGGCTCAGCCCTAATCGCTCTTAATCTTGCCATAAAGGACACCAAATCTTCTGGAAGCGGCCCCTGACAAGGCCAGAACATCTGGAGAAGGCCGTTGTGACATCTGACTGGAAGAGCCGCTGGATGCAATTTCAGGAACGTACAGTGCAGTGCAGTGCAGTGCAGTGCAATAACAATGGGCGCGGCTGATCTGACAGCCCTCGAAACCAGACTAGTAACTGTCTGTTCTGCAGCGATGCCCAAGCCGGCAGAAAGAAGCGCAGCAATCATTTTTGGCTTTCCGTTCTCCAGCGCTTTCTTCTTTCAGTAGTGACGGCGTCGGCGTCGGCGTCGGCGTCGGCATGGGCCTGAGCATGGGCATGGGCATGGGCATGGGCGCCGCGACGCCTCGCGCAGCTTTCTGCAAGTGCAGGGGACTTATGCGGGCTTGCATATGTAGCGTGCAGCTTCAGCTGCGACGGTCAGTCAGTCATGGACTCATGGGCATATGCTGCCTGGCTGCGTAGACGTGGGCATGGCATGGCATGGCATGGGATGCCTTCCTTACCTCCCGAGTCCCAATGGAACCGACCTTCACCGTACACTGTACTGTAGTAGCACTCCACCGAGTCCACTCTAGTACTCTGCGCCTGTGCAGTGCGACGGTGCGCACTGCGTACCTGACGGGCAGCTTCTCTTCTCGGGTGGCTGTGCAGTGCTGAGCTCGTCAGTAGTCCCAGCCTAGCACCGTCGCTGCAGGTGAACTGCGCTGCTGCCCACCATGTCTCCTGAGGTACGTAAATTTAGGTAGGCAGGCAGGCGAGGCAGGCGAGGCAGGCAAGGCAGGTAGGCAGGTAGGTAGTAAGCAGGTATATTTCCTGTCCCCGCCTTCGTGAGGTTTCTCTCTTCCTCCCTCCCTCCCTCCTCCCTTACCCTCCTCCCTCCTCACGACGGTTCATTCGTCCCTCTCAGGCGCAACTTTAATTCATTCCCAACTCTGGGATCGCCACCTCCTCGTACGCTTCGTTTGTTCTTTCCTTGTTATACCTTTCTTGTTCCCCGACTTGTTCCTTTGTTGCTCCTTCATACACGCCTCCATATCCGCCATCCTCGAACCACTTGTCGCTTCTTGTTTTCGATCTCACTCTCGTGTCCTACCCCCACACAAACCTCCCGATGCCTCCTCAGCTTTTACCAGCCTCGGCGGCAGCCTTCGCGCCTCGAGCGACATCCGTCAATGTCGTTCTTAGTTCAAAGGTGGAGCCATGGTTAACACAAACGCTGAAGCGTATAAACCGTATCAAGCGTCCTCTCAACAGTGTACCTCAACATCAGAGATGTCTAACAGAAACATTGTCATCATCGAGTGCGATATGGACTCTCACCTCGCTCATGGTACCGAAGGCTCCAGAATCGGAATTGCGCAAGGATGAGAACCCTTTGATTGAAGCTCTGTTCAATTACCACTTCCTTCACATCGAAGCATACATTGTCCATGTCGATATGGTACTGCGGAACGAGGTTGCATTCAAGCTCACGCCAGACTCAATAGAAGCCCTGATCGAGTATCACAAAGACATACACTGTGTGGACATTTCCGCCAACACGTACAACTGGTCTGAAAAGGAGCTACAAGTCAAGAAGATGCACGAGGAGTTTATCCAAGCCATCAACAAGTTTGTATACCGGACTCATGTTTCTGCCCTGGAAGGTCTTGAGGAAGATGGTGCTGGGGAGCTACTATGTGGGAAGAGTGAGGAGGTCAAGTCCAATATTATGGGTCTCTTCCTTCCATTATTACCTCCGCCACCCAGGATTATCGATGTTGTTCGACCACCCCCATTGCTGCCCAGCTCACCTGCTGGAGTGAATTGGTGGTCGCAATCTAATCTCTCAGTATCGGTACCTGCACCTGTCGAATCTTGGAGAGTGATCTCTTCGAGTCCAAGCACGACGTCATCAGTCGACTCGAACTCATTATGGGCTAGCATGGGACTGCACGAAATACAATTACCGTCCCCTACTCCATCCTACAGCCAGCCATACTCGACCTCGGGGCTCTTCTACTCGTCGCCTCAAGTCAGTGCGCCGATTCCGTCCCTTCCGCTCCCAAGTATGTTAGCACAGCAGCAATGCGGTGTTAGTGCTGGGTACGGAAATTTTGGCCATAGCTGGGACAGGTACCAAGAGTATGCGGCCACCATGTGACAACCAAGGCCCAGTACTCTCACAAACTACTCTACTGCCCATTCTGGGTACTAGCACGGGCACCAACGATCGTTTCCACACACGGCTTCACTCTTGAATACTGGCATCCAAAAATCCGTTTGAATAGACCACCGTCGGGCGAAACTTAGCGGCATAAAGATACCTAATCGAGGTGTACATCGGCGTTCTTGCATCAAACTCATCAGCGACTAAACGACATGTTCGGGAGCAACAGAACATCCCCTGTTTGCCTTTCTTAAGTACATAATGAATGCTGGTTTTCCTTTGTTCGTCTGGTTGATAATTTAGCGTAGCGAGTTTTGCTTTTTGGGTCGGATTGCATGTCAGTTTCTTGATAATATATCACAACACAGCCGCTAGCTCGGTTTTCCTTTCTACAGCATTTGGCAGGACCGGGCGGGGTATTTCATGGGCATTTCCGGGAAACTCGAATCTATAAAGAAGGACCCAAGAAGGGGAACACGCAGCAATGCAGGAGCCGGCGCGTCAAGATATATTTTTGATTTTCTTTCTGATTCGGGGTTTAGCTCCCGATCTCGTTCGTCACGCGGTCATGTCTGTTACGGTCTTTTCATGGTTCATACCAATGACTTTCATCTCAGCCAATGGATGGCTTGATGTCTCTTTTGTGTCTAGATCGGGGTTCAGGGTACTGCGATGGTCATGATAAGATTGGGAATAATGGACTTACCGGGCTGGAGGGCCTGCAAGCAGGCCCTTCTCAGTATAGCACGCTTGCGTGCTGACGGCGACGGGGAACACGATAACAGACCTCAGCAACACGTTTTCGCTGAGCGAAATCGACGATGCAATGTTAGGTCGACCTGCCCTACTTGTACGGCAACCTATTCACGCGTTACCCCCACCTTCGAGATCAGGACATTCTTGCGAGTCGGGAATGTCTGGATGACGGTTGGCTTCGGGATGAGAATGATGGGGAAACCGGAAGGAAAGGGCTGTAGCTCATCCCACTATATTCTCACACATTGCATGTACTGTATCCTTAATCCTAGGACGCCTCTAGGATGTCGGACAACAAGCAAGCTGTGTGAGGGCGCTTAAACTGCCGTGCAGTGCGAGCATGGGATGCTGGGGTTGCGAACACGCAATCGTCCTGGAGGCGAGTAGCACATTATTCTAGTATTAACAGTAATTGAAAAGAAAAGAAAAACTCATCCTCACATATTCGTCTTCATTGTCCTCGTCGCGCAAGTGTTGTCTACGCACGGAAAATCAATGAGGGAAGACGACATGGTGCTTCCAACTCATCTCACGCGCGGTATTTGCCCGATCAACGAGCGAGACAATAAGCAACAGTCAGAATGCAGGTCAGATCAGCTCCTGCATGCCCTTCTTGCGAGTGTTTCCCGCTAAACGTTGGAACTAAACTCATTGGACATGATAAGATTCGTGACGCTGACTGAGGGGCAATTGAAGTCGTTCCTTCTTTCGCCGTTGCCTGAAATTTGTACTCCGTATATGTTTTTTCGCTTTCCTTCTGACCCATATGATTGCAGTTGTTTGAAACGCTCGCATCTAGTCGCTTACACCAATTAGAGGCTCACCTGTCGCTGGCGTGACGCCCTGAGTATTTTGGGATGAGCTGATATAACAGTACAGCAGGCTTGATCAGGGATAGTATGGACTGCACAAAAAAAATTCTCATTCTGGGGTCCCTCCCCTTGGTGGAGCATTCAGATTTCACGGTGCGACAAATGGAACAGCGAGCCTTTATCATGTTTTACTTCAACATATATCGATCCAAGCGGTGTCATATCCACTTTGATATCAAAGATTAGTCTTTTCATCTCTCGCCGCTTGAACATCTGCTTGTTAGAATCCGGAGAGGTTGGGAAGTTGACGCGCCATAGAACTCGAATATTGGCTCTATCTTGAATGGGAGTCTCGCAAGCCACGGGTGCAACGGTTCCGTCAGGTAGCGAAGTTTCTGTCTAACCTGACGCTCTTGTATACACAACAAGTCAACACTATTAAATTGACACCTTACCTCGGTCGAGCCTAGATTGTCAACTGTGATTTCTTACTCCTGTTACCCGAATTCTACACTACCGCAATTCCGAGTTCGAGAGTTACGAGCACGAATACAAACTGCGAAATCATGGAGCCAGCAAACGACTCGATCTGATAAAGCGGAGAACCAAATAGACGCTCAGGTTTTCGACTACATAATGAACGCAATTGCACTCCAAGGTCGAGGAACGTATGCTGGATTGTCCAACACCACCTACCTGCTAAATACTCGATTTCTGCAATGAAAACACAATGCTATCTAAACTTTCTCCTTCGCCTCTGAAAGTATGATCTGCTAGGAACTGGTCTAGACCGGCTGTACTCATGTGGATCAAACTTCATGGTTCTTTGACGAAGAAGACCTTGGATAATACTCTGCTCGCAAACTCGGAGCTAAAAATACAATATTGAGCGACTAACACACGAGGAAGGTGGGGATCGAGCATAAGAAGCTGTATCAGCGACAATATGAAGTCTTATTGACTTGGGAGTGTCGGTTGACCAAAGACAAGCGGGAATGGGTTTGTTTACCTTATTCACAGACATATGAGAAAAAAGCATGGGTAAGCGAGGCATTACACATCCACTCGAATGTTGGGACTTTCAGTACATCATTATACATGCATAAGGCGATTGCAGATCATAGTTGTCTCTGTTGTAATTTCGATAAAGGGTGTGCTGATTCCACCCGTGGTTACTATCATTATGCATTGCTGCACATGTCTCCGCTCTGGACCGCAGTCCTACTTCCAATCGCACAAAAACACGGATCGTCCCACGAAATATTGATTGCCAAGATAGTAGGCCTATGAGATAAGGACAATACGAATCCTCATTATCAGGTTAGCATTTTAGGATACCTCCATCATGTCGGTGAACACGGAGAAGCCACGTTCCTTACACAACCTGGATTACTTCCGTACGAGCGTGGAGGGACGGACAATGGTCCCTAATACCCTGTGGGAGTTAAGGATCTTGCGAGCGAGTATCGAAGTCTGAACCCTGGTTGTTAGGATTCGGACACATCCACTGTGAAGCCGGAGGTGGAGTTAACGCCGATGATGTGGACAGAGCCCAAGTAGGTCATGAGGTCACCTCCAGAACAAAGTCAGAATACGGATAATCACTATCAAAAACATCAGGGTGGTGCAAGCGATCTCTGGCACCTGGAGACAAGAGAGGATATAGCCGATGAGATACAAGGGGCGGCAGCATATCCGAATCTTTCCTATGGCATTTTACAATTCCCACCTAACAACCTTGGAAATATCCTGTCAGTTCTGAGCACGAGCAGGAACCCTTCCCGCTTTCGCTGCTTTAGCCTTGTGGCTCCTTGGTGACCCGGTCCATGACGTTTGTGGGGTCAGAATTTCCCTGTATGCACCCTGTAACAACTAGATTGGCTCTGAGTAGGGTAACATCGCCGCGTCCTCATGGACCTTTGGGGACACCGCAATTTCAAGTCGATCAGGCGCCAACTCAACACCGCCTTCCGAATAGTTGCAAAAGGCGGCACTGAATCGATACGCTCTCGACGGTTTCAAAAGGTGTCGCTCATGAAGGCTTACTACTGCAATGGATTTCTGGCGCCAAGAACTGCACATGGCGAACAAGATTATATAGTGTTTCAGCATCATAACTCTTGATGTTTTTGAGGACTGTTCATCACTCAAAATGTGAGTACTACCGGAGGCTTCCCAAGATGGTGTCAATGGGTGCCGCTTTTCGTTTCCATCCCCAAACCCCATGTCTTACATGACGGAGCCCTCGCCGAATTGGGTTATTGCTATCGCAATGACCGTCCTTTACTCCTGGTTGTCCTTGAAGGAGCCAGACTTTGACTGCTGGGCGATTTGCGCTTTTCATGAGCTCCTTCCATATATTGTACGGGACGCACTCTCGTTCTGCCCCATCTTGCCACTCACAGCTCAGCTCTCATTGCAAGCTTCTGGTATTTTCCCTTTCCCAGGACGCGTTTGAGGAGATACCCAGGAGTCTGATTAAACCATAATCTTTTCTACCAGTCGTTACTGTTTTGACAGTGGCCCAAATGGCGCGAATTAGCCTAGTTTCTATTTTCCCGGCCCTCCTGTTATTGAGCAGCGCACTCGTCAATCGTCCAGACTTTGCGTCCAATATCTTCTTTCTGGATAATCAAGAAAGAACATCTTTAGAAAAGCGGGACGATGTGCCTGCAGGCTTCGTTGCGAGTCCTTACTACCCTACTCCAAAGGGTGGGTGGAGTCCAAGTTGGTCTGCATCATACGCAAAAGCACAATTGGTCGTTGCGAACATGACCTTGGCTGAAAAAGTCAACCTTACTACTGGAACTGGACTGCTCATGGGTCGCTGCATTGGTAATACCGGGTCAGCCCTTCGATTCGGTATTCCAAGTCTATGCTTACAAGATTCTGCTCTTGGTATTGCTGCCACTGATAATATTACTGCTTTTCCTGCTGGAATAACCGTAGGTGCAACCTGGAATAAAGCCCTGGCTTATGCAAGAGGAGCTGCTATTGGTGCCGAAGCACGTGGCAAGGGTGTGAACATTCAACTTGGGGTATGCGTTCTCTCATCCGTTGTAAACAAAATGCTCGGTTATGGTACTGACTTAGGTTAGCCGGCTGTTGGACCACTTGGTCGGAAGCCTCGTGGAGGAAGAAATTGGGAAGGATTCGGAGCTGATCCCGTACTTCAGTCTTGGGGTGGAGTAGAAACGATCAAAGGCATTCAGGTGAGGAGGGCCTTCACCTTGTTGTTCCTGGGCATTGGGCTTAGCACATGACAGGACATGGGCGTGATTGCCACTATCAAGCATTTTATAGCGAATGAGCAGGAAGCCTATCGCATGGATATTCCGCCTCATGGCCTGATGAAAGCACTGAGTAGCAATCTTGACGATAGAACGCTTCACGAGCTCTATGGGTGGCCATTTGCGGATGGCATCAGAGCAGGAGTCGGAGCAGTTATGACTGCGTATAATGTCAGTGACTCGCAGGTGATAGCGCCCACAGATGACAACTGACAATCCAAAGGATGTGAACGGCAGTGCTTCATCTCAAAACAGTAAAATGATGAACGGCATTTTGAAGGACGAGATGGGATTTCAAGGGCTTGTGAGTTGATCACCCACCGCCACATGTCAGGCAATCTACTAATGCCTTTAGATTATGAGTGACTGGTTGGCTCAGATCGGCGGAGTTAGTTCAGCTCTGGCTGGTTTGGACATGGCTATGCCAGGCGACGGCTCGGTTCCACTGTTTGGAGTCACGTACTGGGGCTACGAACTCTCCACCGCTGTTCTCAACGGTACTGTCCCATTGGAACGTTTGAATGATATGGTCACAAGAATCGTTGCTACTTGGTATCAACTCGGGCAAGACGATCCGAGCTTCCCAAAGCCAAACTTCTCAGCCAACACTGCTGATGCCAGTGGCCCCTGCTATCCAGGCGCTCTATTCTCGCCAACTTGCGTTGTCAATGAGTATGTCAATGTGCAAGGAAACCATGCCACTGTCGCCAGAGAAGTTGCAAGGGAGGCTATCACGGTGCTGAAGAACGACAACAAAACGCTGCCACTGTCAAGCAAATCAGTACTCAAGATCTTTGGCACGGATGCCCAGAAGAATCCGGACGGCATCAATTCTTGCAATCAACGCTCGTGTAACAAAGGAACGCTTGGCATGGGTTGGGGTAGTGGTAGGTTTTCCGCAAATAGCGACATGGACAACTGCTGACTAGCTACGTAGGAACTGCAAACTATCCATATATGGACGATCCTATCACTGCCATCAAGCTCAAAGCCGCCAATTCCACCTACTACAATACTGATTCATTCCCGTCCGGCATCATTGCCATGCCCACAGATATCGCTATCGTCTTTATCAGTAGCGATTCGGGTGAAAACCAGTATACGGTGGAAATGAATAATGGCGATAGAAGCTCTGATGGTTTACGAGCGTGGCACAAGGGAGATGATCTTGTCAAAGCAGCAGCAGCCAAATACTCGACAGTCATCGTCGTTGTACATACCGTCGGTCCCATTCTAGTGGAGAGCTGGGTTGATCTGCCGTCCGTGAAAGCAGTTGTTTTTGCACATCTACCAGGACAGGAGGCTGGAAACTCACTGACAGATATCCTCTTTGGAGACTACTCTCCGAGCGGACATCTTCCATACTCAATTCCCAAGACTGAGTCAGACTACCCAGCCTCAGTCAGCCTCATGGGATTCCAATTCTTCCAAGTACAAGACACCTTCTCCGAGGGATTGTACATCGACTACCGGTATCTGAACAAACTCGCCATTCCACCTCGCTATGCATTCGGTCATGGCCTGTCGTATACAACGTTCTCCAAGACCAGTGCTACTGTCACCGCTGGTAAAGCCATGACTTCTGTTCCTCCGGCAAGAAGGCCCAAGGGATCAGCTCCTACGTACAGTAAGGCAATCCCCTTACCTGCCGAGGTAGCATGGCCAACAGGATTCGACAAGATCTGGCGGTATCTCTATCCATACCTCGATAACCCGCAAGACATATCATCAAAGAAGGCATTCACCTACCCCATCGGATATCAAACCACCCCACAACCCGATCCTGTTGCTGGTGGTGATCAGGGCGGTAATCCAGCTTTGGTGAGCATTTTTTGTCGATATTCTATAATATTTCAGGAACATGTGTGTGAGTAACCACGCTAACTTCTCCCAGTGGGACGTAATGTTCACAATTTCCGTTAAAGTGACCAACACCGGCACCGTGGCAGGAAAGGAAGTCGTAATGGTGTACGTACAATACCCTAGTGACAATCCTTGGGACACACCAATCATCCAACTCCGGGCCTTCGAAAAGACGGCTACCCTGGCCGCAGGTGCAAGTGAAACGGTGATTCTGGAGCTCACAAGAAGAGATCTGAGTATCTGGGACATCATCTCGCAGAATTGGATTATCCCTGTCAGCGGCTCGAAACCGTTCTTGTTTTGGATTGGGAATTCAACTGCTGGATTGTCGTTCGCCTGCGAGAGTCTGAGTAAACATTGTAGTGATGGAAGGATGCCACCAGTAGTGTGAAGAGAAGTACAGTTGTGGTGTAGCGTACTATTTCAAAGTCGTCGTCAAACCCAAATTAAAAGTCATCACCAGCAGTGAAAAGCCGAGTGACGAGCTATGACCATCTACCATGCCGATGATACCAGTCCTGCATTCGCTAATTTTTAGCGCCATTCCCATATCCAGATACAACACAGTGAAGAAACCCGCAACATTTGCATCGATTTGTTCATGTTAAATACTATTTATAAACTTAATGTCATTCATTGTTACAATGATTATTGTCATTGCGCTTGAAGTGATAATCACCGAGCAAGAGAGTAAACCAGCTTGGCATTCTCACAGATGAAGCATTCTAATTGTCTACTTAGAACAGCGGGGCTAAAATGCTATCCAAGGTAGAGCGATGTGAGTTGCAACAGTATCAGGGTATAGATTTGCAGTAAGAATTTTCAGAGGAATGAGAGAAGGGCATTGTCATGACTATATTGGTCTAATTTTCATGGCACAAAGAATTGCCAAAAATTTTACTCTGAATCAGTATACCCTTTTTTTAATGGTGGAAAATCATGCGCTGACTGTGAACTGCAACGATTTTTGTTAAAAGGTCGGTTGGTATACTGAATAACCACCAGCGCCAGGACCCGAAGACTCCCTGTTCATGGCCATCATCATAGGAGTGACGCTTTCCAATTATTCAATGCACCTCCGTTGACAATGTACTTTAGATGTCTTTCTTGTAAGCATGCTCCGGCTTATGGGTTGTCTCATAGTCAACATGGACGTAAGCTCTCTCGACATCGGGCAAGCTCTCTAGCTTGATCTGCAATTCTTCGGCAACATCATGCGTATCTCTCAAAGACGAAGATGCATTCATGACCACGTCGACTTCAGCAATCAGTCTTGGGCCGGAATGGTAGACTCGGACAGTGTCGATTCCTTCGATCGCAGCAGAGTGGGTCAGGCAGACATAGGTAATGAGCTGCTGCGTTTCGACCGAGGCCGTAACTCCAACGAGAAGCATGAACTCGGTGAAAGCGGTGTGAAGCCAGACAGATGTAATGATGCAGGAGAGGATAATGGCCCCCATGGGATCGATCCACCATTTCAGCTTCGATCCACCGACGGAGGTGAGGATACCAAAGCCATTGATGAGAAGATCATTCCGGTGATCTTGCCAGAGAATATTGATCTGAGAGTACTTGTCTTTGAGAGCCCAGCAGTAGAGAAAAAGGCAGAGCTTGGTGAGAAAGGCTGTCGCAACGGCAATGACGGATGGAAGATGAAATTTCTTGACTTCGCCCTGGGGAGGATCGGCAAGCTCGCGGCATGAGAATGCAATGAGGATGAATGATACGGTTGTCATGATAAAGCAGAAAACTATGTTCCCAGTTGTCTCTAAGCGGGCTTTACCAGAGGGAAAACGGTTTGGATCGACACGCTTGACAGCGCGGTTGGTAAGTATCAAGGTGATATTCGACATCGGATCAAATATAGAATCCGCCATAGTCGTAATCAGGGAGAGTGAGCCTGAAGTCACAGCACCATAGAGTTGCAAGCCAGCCAGGACGATATTTGCACCAAAGGACCCGCTATGGAAGATGTCGAGGTCAGCACAACTTTCCACTAACACGACACAGTCGAAAATTTCAGCAGACTACGAGGCAATTGAGCAGCTTCGAGACCAATCGGCTGTATTGCGCGATGCGAAAGCAGTAGGCTGAATATTCAGCAGTATCTGGGCCTCTTTGGATGATTTTTTACAAATCAACCAATTTGATTGAATGTTCTGCATGTTGAAAAGCAGCTAGTTGGCAGCTTGCCATACGAGGTTGAAGTTAAGCGTCTTTCCAGCTGCAACATCATTTGACTTGAATTTGGAGACAGTAGAGCCCCCACGTCTAGAACACAGGCTTGAATGCAAAGGAAACACTACGGCGACACTCACTATACGGCAATTTGCCATTTCAGTCGGTCCTCGCCAGCTTCTTCCCTTGCCTCCGCGCAATGGGCCTCTACAGGCTTGAGCATCCGCTCAATATTCTCATTCTGGCTCTCGTAGAACTTCTGGACCAGCCTTGCCCTTTTGGCATCCCGGTTGAACTTGATAGGCCCGCAGCCATCGCGCTTCCGAGAGGTATTCGCCGCGATAAGCTGCAGCTCGCCTGCATCTTTGAATGCCGAAGACAGCTTGTATGGATCATTCTCGCGGGTGTATCGCGGAGATCTCTGTTCTTCCAGGTCGTTCAATACAGTAGAGGTGTGCCGTGAAATGGGATCGTGTTCTTCGGGGTTGGGAGTGACCGCTTCAAAGGCAGTGCTTGCGCCTGGCTTTGCGAAAGATGTAGATTGTATGGGAGTGTGTGTTCGACTGGTCGCATGCTCCGATCGATTCGGGTGGAGGTGGAATGGATGTGGATGCATGGTAATGCTGCTGGTGAGGTCGGGGTTGTGTGCCATTTTGTTCTGGAGATCCAAGACCTATGTTGAATAAAATACGAACCGAGACAATAAATCAGGAAAGGAAGAGAGATGATGCTCGGGAGATCCTGACCATGCTGAATATGGGGATGAATAAAGGTATGTCAGTGAGCGGGGGAGAAGCGGGGATTGGATAGCAGCGTATGAGAGCCAGAGGCAGGATTAGGTAGCTACGGAGCCAAGTCTGGGGGAGTTGGCATGCGATGCGATCAACACTGACACTCACAAACAAGATCTGGCGGTGAGCTTGAGTCGAGCGACAAATGGCGCAAGTGGAGCCGTGGTGGCTGGGCACGAATGCAAACGCGTCTGGACGGCTTCCTTGTGGCAATGGAGCAGTTTATTCCTTCGACGATGGGACTCAGCCGGTCCCTTTGGACGAGAGTTGAAGATGTCTTTGTGAGGAGAGGAGAGGAGAGGAGAGGTAACGAGAGTAAACAATGAGGTCAGAGATGCGGCTCCACCGGTACGCTACTCGCTTCCATCCCATCCTCGCCATCATCGATTCATCGCATCCTGTCACCCCCGGGCCCGGTCCGAAACGGTGCTCGTCCCTTGTCGTCTCGCAGCTGCTCATTGGCCTCATCCCATGCCATTACGGAGGGCTGGCCCAGCCCCGTCTGATAAATATAAAACATGGATGTAGAAATATACCTAGGTGGATACGGAATGTCGATTTCAGACAGATTTCCGATCCTCTCCTCAATCAGAATTACCCTTCTTGCCTGAAATGTGCATGCGCCATATTACAAACTACAAACGCAGCGTATCTACCAAAACTACCTAGGTTCCTTGGGAGATAAGGAGTTCCCTCGCCGATGCTTGGAGCCAAAGACCGCTCCCTCGTCAATACATGTACTGTTCTCATGCTTCATAGTGCCAAGTATGGCCCTGCTCAACTCTCCTAGTGCCTGATATGTACAGTCGTAGAACAGTAAGTCTCTGTTCCCTCCACCGCATTATTATATAAACCAAAATTTGCACAAATGCGACTGCAATGATATCATACGAAACGGAACGATGCAAAAGCAAATGATGAATGCTCGACAAGAGACGTGTCCCCGCCAGCGATGCCAGAGACCATAAAAGCAGTCATAATGTACATGGTTTTGCCAAAGCGTAGGGCATCAAGCATCAATTGTCAATCACATCTCGCTCTTCTTCGCTCGGTCCTTGAGGGGCTCATTTGACGGAAATGTCTCATCCTTCTCCCACATTGCTCCTGGTCCATGATAACTAGGTTCCTCCACGGCAGTTCTGGGAACATCGTTCAAATCTGTTCTGCCGCTAGGCGGCGCCTGAGCTACATAAGTTGGAGAGACAACCCCTTCTGAACCGTAGGGAAGGGGCCTTAGGGGAATCTCTCGTGCAGGGCTGCCATCTGTTCCTAACTTATGTGCTAGCACGTCTGACTGTCGTCGAGCTAGCTGCTCCAGCTGTACCACCGGATCCTGCCAAAAGTAAGAAAAACACCTCACGTAAAAGGATAGAAAAGAGTACCCAGTCCTCCTGCGAAGGAACTCCCTCCGCGGCTGGTAGTTCACCCTCCTTGTCTCTCTCTTCACCCCAAAAACTAGGTCTCCGAATCGGGGCAGGAGTCACGGGCAGACTAGGCCGTTCAAGCTCTGAAGGGAAGTCTGTGAGCCTCATACTGTGTCTCCTCGCACCCAGACTGGACACCTGTTCTATACCTGAGCCGTACCCCTGAAGTACCTGGATATTACCCTTCCGATTTTTTTGCAGATTTCCAATGTATCGTTCGATCTCGGGGATGTCGTCCCAAGCATTCCCACGCGTGTAAGTCTGCCAAGGATCAGCAGGCGTGAGTGAGATGGTAGGAGTAGTAGGAGTGACTGTGGTAGGAGTATTGTCTCGCTCCTCCACTCCTAGTGCAGATTCTGGATCGCCGCTATCGGGGTGTTCAGTATCCAATGGTACGTTATCGTCAGGAAAAACCCTTGTAGGCTTGGGGGCGTTCATCTCCCATGGGAATATAGGTGCCGGCTTTTGGTACATTGGTGTTTTTGGCACTTCATAGTACATATTCTTTGGAGGATCAGGATAGCGCTCAGGGGCTTTGAACGGAGTCAAGTCGGAAGACATGTCATAGTGTGTCGCTGGGAAATTCGAAGCCTCTGGTTTAGAGTCCGTTGGTGGAGGGGCTCTGGCACTTAATCAGCATCCGTACTGTTCCCTCGATTAGGAACACTGACCTGCTGGCATCCCATGCGGAGTACTGGATCTCATGTTGAGCTTCTGGCTCGTCGCCCTTATCCAGGTCTGTTTCAACTGGCGGAACATAAGCTTCTTCCACTTCTTCCAGAATTTCTGATGTTGTTTCATGCAACGGCCCTCCGGCGGTCGGATGGAATATCTCACTATCAGTTTCATCAGATTGATACTCGCGCCCACTCGAGACTATGGGCACGATTGGAAGGAACTCTCCCTTCGTATGGTATTGCACAATCAACGAAGAACCTCCCGCGCTATTTCGGACGGACTTTTGGAATCAGCTGGGAACTTATGGAGAAATGACAGATCGTACCGATTCTTTGTAGTGTCGGTCATAGACTGACCACCACCTGCCCACCATCTGGTCATAAGGAGTAGAGCCTTTATGCGCTTCCCTTCCCTGGCTCCAAGGCTTTTCCTGGCCAATGAAATGTGCTACACTGATACTCGATTGAAAATGTTGAAATGCTGGTAAATACTGGTAGTGAGCTGAGGGAGTGACATTATAAGTAAAACTCAAGCGATTGAAGTTATTCTTGAAGTGCATGTTCAAGAGGCCTTGGTCTGCACCATCAAACGATATCCCCCGCTCTGCCATGGCGAGTAAAGCATAATAATCACCCATGTTCGGATTCAATACCATCAGACCTGAATTGAAGATGTCAGGCCATCCAATGTCAGGAGCCGCAGAGAAGGCTTGAGGCAAGTCAAACAACTCGTCTGGAGCACGCAGAGCAACCATATCTGAGTCCATATACACAATCCGGCGGAACTGCAATTGCTTCCACAGCGTTATCTTGGTGAAGGTCGAATGTAGATCAGGTCGATTCATGAGGTGCAGATTGGCCGGTGACTGATTGACAACTCGTTCGACAGGAATGATAAAGTCGAATTGTTTCTGCGGGGTGTTAGAGAGTCCTCGAATCTACAATTGCAAAGGTGGACCTACCTGAAGCTGGACCATCGCATCTGCAGAGATTGATTCAGTGGTGACCAGTACGGCCAATTTCTTGGTAGTGCCAGCATCTCGTAAGGAATGCGCCAACACTAGAGCACCTGCATTTGAAGCTCCAGTAAGTAATAGTCTATCGAACTGTGGCAGCCAGTCTTACCTGGAAGGTAGAAGTCGTTCAGAAGCAGCTGTGGCAGAGATTTAGTCAGTATGCGACAGTGGGGGAAAAGAGCGCACGGGCAGCTCACAGTCGCGTATACATCCTCCCCAGCCGAAGCCATTGCCTCTCCTCTGTTACACAGCACGGCGCTGGTTTCCAGGAGATTTGACGCAAGCCAGGAACAGAAATTATTACTGATGAGTAACAGACATTCAGATCGGTGTAGTTGTGGAGGTTGGGAGGAGAGGGTAGGAAGAAGGCGAATTACTAAGATAGACGGAGGGCAGGGAGGGGATGAGAAGGATCGAGAGCTTGACGCCTTCTGAATTGAATACAGTAAGGTGTGTAGGTAGGGAAGAGTACTGTAGAGTGTAGAGGAGGTCGAGTCGGCTAACTTAAACTACCTCTAGCTGCAGGCGCAGGCGCAGGTAGGTGGAGCAGAAACAGCAGGGCAGCAGAACAGAATCAGAATCAGAATCGGAATAGAATAGAACAGAGAACGTCCGTCCGTGTCGTGGGATGTCGTCCTGCGCTGAAGGCAGGGAAACAAGGAAGTGAGATGAGGTGAGGTGAGGTGAGGTGAGGTGAGGTGAGGTGAGGTGAGGTGAGGCTTGTCCGGGAGAAGTCCGGCCGGGCCCAGTGTAAAGGTCCTAAGGTAGGTAGGTAGGGAAAGACGTCAAGGAGAATAGAGGCGAGGCGAGGCGAGGCGAGGCACGAGTACCTTAGAGGCGAAATGAGGCCAAAACCCAGTGACAATACAGCGCTTCACCAAGTGGATAGTTGCACGGCTGTCTAGGTACAGTAGAGATTAGAGATGTGCTGTTTTATTTTGTTGACTTTAAGAGCTTGAACCTGAAGGAAGACAGCATTTGGCAGTGCAAGTAGAAGGAGAAGCACAAGCACAAGCACAAGCACGAGCACGTTATGATTAAGGTATACCTTACCCGTCTTGGTCGGCATGAAGACCCTCGACGGTTCATGATCCTGTTCATGTTCATGTTCATGTTCATGTTCATGTTCGAAGATGCAACCCCGCCCCCCTGCTCTGCGGGGGCGGACATGCCCTGAAATGCCCTGGTGACCTCACGGAGCTCAAATATACCCGTAATCATGGACCTGGCCGTTGCATCCACTGCACGGATGACGCAGTACAGTGCTGCAAGCGGAGCGCTAGAGCGCCGGAGCCGGAGCCGGAGCCGGAGCCGGAGGCCAATTATTGGAACTGCGACCGCAAGAAGCTCTTTGGCGCTTATCCTACAGTAAATTACAGTACTCCGTACAGTACTGAACTGGCAGACCTACCTAACTTACCTATCAGGAGCAGGTCGAGGACCAGGTCCAGGTCCATATCACGCATGGATACCAGCCCAACCTCCCAGCCCTCGCCTCCTCGCTTCTCTTTACCCCGCACCCTGCCATCAAGCTGTCTTGAGGTGTCGACTGCATACATTATGCACATCGTCCAAAGGTTCGTGTAGATTATCTGTTCAGTACTGTCTGTAATTTACGTTACATTGCCTTGGATGGCATTCGACTCGCTCAATTCAATCTTCCCTCTTATGCCTACCTAGGTAGGTAGTTAGTTCCCTTTGACCCACCTGTGGAAAGGTCATCTCACACCAGATCAAAGTGTGTATTGCCACAAACCATGCTATTGTCGTCCTTTTCTGCAACATGATCTTTGCCCACCTTAAGCAACGATGCCGTCGCCCGCCAATACCGACTCAATTTCATGCAGCTGCTTTTTGAGCAACATGAGGACGTTCCGTGCTCTTGGCTTCCAAGGTTATTATCACGGCTGCTACAGTACGTCTTGGGGCTCGTCCCTGACCGGTTCTACAAGCAGCTCTCCAAACTCCTTTCGGATGAACCCGGCGAGCCTCTGATTTCACCAAGAGGAACGACGAACTGACCCCCTGAGTAACAGTGCTCCTGTTCAGCTACCGAGAATCTGTGAACGAGCAATAGTCTCATATTAGCGACCATTCGGATCCTGAATTCCCGTGTGTCAATACTCCAAGGCTTTGTGAGGATTCATTTCTACCGCGACATGTCACTCTTGTACTGCGTATATTGCGTCGAATACGAACTTGTATTAGCGGCCCCGACCTGCCGGGGTTCATTCCCAAAATCGATGTGCTCTGCTCACCTGCAGGTCCGGACGACAGCACTTCATCGAACATGATGAATCTGATTACAACAGAGGTTGTGCTTGCGGACCTCTCAGACTACCAGCTAGAGATCCAGGCCTTGTCTCCGCTCTCAAGGCGAAGCCGTAACTCCTGCAGAAGAGAATCGATGTCTCCCAGCAAAGCAATGGGAATCTCTGACACAACCAAATATTGTTACCCGTTTTGCATGAGCAGTGTTCATTAAATGACCCTGTTTCAAACCAATCAAAGGTACATGGACTGTTATATCGAGTACATCTGCTTCTAGGGCTTTGTTCCTATCTCATGGCCGTATTTGCAAACTAGGAGCGACTTCGCTGTTCCTGCGGCTTCCCGCATTATCAAGCTTGGTTTATACCCAGGCAACATGACTGGTTGTCGTTCTGGAAAGACAGCCCATTCGAAGTTTCCAAGAGACCGGCAGAGGCGCACATGTTCTAAAATTTGTCATTTCCAAGCTTTTTGTTCATGTGGCCCTCTTGGATGCCGTGGGAGCTGCGTCCTCTAAGGGCTCCTAGCCCTTGACTATTTGATTGGCCACGAAAAATGCTCGACGCAGCTTCTTATAAACTGTAGCTACCCTTCCTTATGATTCTCCTCATCGGTATAGGGACGCGTCTTTGGCCTTGGTAAGAGACGTGCAGTTCCAGCTACAGTTGCCCACTCATCCACCGGATCAAGCATTTCGAAACAAACGATTGGATAATACAGTAGCCAGCTATGCTACTGAGATCGAGATATGAATAGCCGCCGCATGGAGGCGGTCGAGCGAGCGGAAGAGGAAGAAAAGGGCTAGAGCTTGAGAAGAGAGGAAGTTGAGGCGAAGCGGGTGGTGGCAGTGAGGGGCGGTGGCAGTGGAGCGCAGAGATGAGAACAAATGGAAGAGATTTCGAGGAGCGAGCAAGCAGCCAAAGCCGGCTGTAGTTCTTGGAAAGACTCATGGAGAACCTGCCAGTCCAAAATGATTCAAAGAGCACCGAAAACTTTGGACTGTGGACCGCAATAATTTGGACGATGATAACTGAGGATGGAAGCAGCGAATGATCTCCGACTTAAGGACTCTAATGAATACACTGCAGACGAAGCCACATCTGTAGTCTGATAGACATGCAAACATATCGGCGGATTTTCAAGTTAGACTGGCAGAGCTATTCATCCCGGTCATTACCCACCAAGGGCAGGCCCTTCGACTGTCTCTGCCGATCCTGCAGCTGGAGCAATGGTGGAGGCATTTAATTTTGTCAGCAATAGTCAGGGCTCTCAAGCTGTTTCGTTCTCCTGTAATATTGACACTAATCTACTGCATCGATACCTCGTCACCAACTCTGCTGTCAGCAAGGATTGCGCAAAAATAATTATTGTTCTCTCAAAAGCAATCCACTGATTACTTGCGCGGGAGAACAGCCCATGCCTCAGCGATGGTCTTTTTGGATTATTGGACCCGCACCGACAGAAGCTCAGTCACCTTCCATTACACTGGACTGGCATGTATGGCCACATCGACTTTCCCAGTGCAACTAGCGTTCTTTGGGACAAACATCGACATGAAAAAGCAGATAATTTGGAGACCAAGGTCATCTCAACAGAGGAAGAAGGTCTCAACAAACGTACCAAAAACCTGCCTTCGATAGAGTTGGGCATGTTCCTTTCACCAATGATCGAGCACAGCCCCGCGTCGATGCTTGCTTCCGTCTCCTGTGGCATGACATATCTGGAGGGTTGAAGGTATTAGAGTTAGATATTCCTAGTATAGTTTCGGAATATATAACTCTTAGTGTTTTACAAGCTATAAGGTAAATTCCGATGTTTTAGAAGCTAGGAAACCTTATAAGGAAAATTCCGGTGTTTTAGAAGCTAAGGTAAATTCCGGTGTTTTAGAAACTAGAAAGTTTCCTTCCTGTTTCGGGAATTTACCGGTTTTATAAGCTAGAGCTTTTTGAAACCTTCCGGTTTTAGAAGTAATAAGAGCTAGCTTAATACTATACTGAATTAGGAAATAGGGCGTAGATATATAGAGCTAGAAATCCCCCTGAAGTAATAGAATTATTATATACTCTAAATATCTCTACTTTTCAGGTTATAAGACTATAATAGTCCGGTATTTACTCGCTATAAATACAGAAAGCTACAGTTAATCTCTGATAATTAAGAGGTAGGTGTATTATATAGATAGGAAGATAGTTACTAAGTATTAGAATACTATTTAAAGTTAAGCACGAAGCTCTTATCTAATAGCAGATATACTAGTCTTATATAGAACCTTCGTTCGCCTTAGATTCCTTAGGATACTAGATCCTTAGATCTTTAGATCCGTTTTCCTATAAGGGGATCCAGGGATCTAGGGATCTATCACGTGACTTATTATTTACTATAATCTAGGTAACTATTACTACTAAAGCGTAAGTATATAGTAGTACTACTCGTTTATCTTATATTATTTCCTAGCTAGTACTACCCTATCGATAGTACTACTCCCTCGTTAGTACTAATGCCCCTATAGTACTACTGATAATTTTATTATTATATAGATACTAACTGAACTATAGCGCTAAGGGGTTTATAATACTATCCCCCTCTTAGCTTAGCGTGGTCCTTATACTTAAGTATAACCTTAAGAAATATCGATAGTTACTAATAACTATCTTCCTTATCTATTATATCTAGTGTTATAAAGAAATCAAGTATTACCTAGATAAAGAAAAAATAGAGTATTTAGCTCGCGCTTTATATTAAGCGTGCTATATAACTTATAAAGCTTTATTCCTTCTGCTATAGCTTTTCTTATACCTACTTCTTAGATTTATCTATTTCAAAACGATACTCTAAGTGTATTTACTTAAAGCGTTATAATTATAATACCTTAGGGTATATTAAAAGGTTTACTCCTAAATAACTTATATATCAGTTTAAAATAGGAAAAACCGTGACTCCTACTCGCCCTCTAACGCCTCCCTCTAAGCCTATTAAGGATAATCCTACTTCTTAGTTCCCTGCCTTTAAACCTAACGCTTACCTAGCGTCTTTCTTCAAGGGCCTAGCCCCTAACCTTAAGTTCCCTTCCTTCTAAGTAAACCTGGATTTCTTTAATAGAATCCTTATAGAAGCTTAGGGCAGCGGAGGTTAGATTTAAGTTCCTAAGTGTTTTCTAATTATAAGTACCTTTTCTATTTAATTAGATATTTTAGTTTACTATAGAAATACTAATAGTCGAGAATAGCCTCTACTTTATATTCAGTGTTTAGATTAATCAGTTATATTTTAGTAATAAGAGCTAGTAGTACTCCTAGCGGTACTAGTTTAAGGAGAGATATATAGAATACTAAGTAGATATTTATTATTTTTAGTAGAGCTAGTTAATAATTAACTAGTCCCTTAACTTTAGTAATCCTAAATAGTCCTAGCTTCTTATAATCTAATTTATAACTTAGTCGCTTAGTTATAATATTCCTTCTAAGTAAGTAGACTTTATCCCTCTCCTTAAGTATTAGTCCTATATTACGCTTTCTATTATAGTAGATCACAGATCTCTACGTGATAAAGAGAATATCAGCTAATAATTTTTTATAGAGCTACTTAAGCTTATCTACCTATAGTATAGCCTCCTACACGGTCCCCTAACTAGTTATTAGTGGATTATATACTATAGGATTATACTTATAATTTG